TTTTGTTTAAGCTCGACCACGTCAAGATAAGTCAAGATCACTTGACTAGTCGATCTGCTCCAAAATCTTGAAAGATTTATAATGTTCTGATTTTAGTTTTGTGAATAAAATTGTATCATGCAATATAGTTTTACATAAAACAGGAAACTCAACCATCGAAACTTAAAACATATCATTTCCTTAAAATCATACAACCACAATATTTACTTGTTGACATGTATTCTCATCTCATGTTTTTCTATTTTATATTGATCATTTCTTCATTCATTAGTCCGCTTTTGGAAAGGTGAGAGGGACTGACAATGAATCGAATCGAGCTAATGAATCGTTCAAATTTTTGTAGCTAGTTTGACTTGACCCAGCCCAGATCTGGGTTGCTCATGGGCTGAGTTCAAAGAACCCGCGACGACTCAAGTCCATTGCCACCCTTAACACAGAGACCAGAAGCCCAAACCATATGTGCCTCCAAGAAAACATATTATTTTATTCAAATACACTAGCCGTTTCATCCAACGGCTATTTATTCAAAGTAATACACACTGTCAATTTTTATCTTTGCATCTGAATCAAACACAGTATCAAGATGAATGATTTGATGACAAAATCTTTCACAAGCTACTTAGATCTAAAGAAGGAAGCAATGAAAGATCTCGATGTCGGACCCGATATAGAAATGGGGATGACTCAAATCGACCATAACCTCACTGCCTTCTTAGAACAAGCAGAGAAGGTGAAAACAGAGATGGATTCAATCAAAGACCTCTTGGTCCAACTACAACAGGCCAATGAAGAAAGCAAATCCCTTCACAATCCTCAAGCCTTGAAATCGCTGCGAAATCAAATAAATTCACAAATCGTAGCAATTTTGAAGAACTCCAGGACCATAAAATCTCAATTGGAGGAAATGGACAGGTCTAATGCAATGAATAGACGACTTTCTGGGTGCAAGAAGGGAACTCCGGTGGATAGGACACGATCTGCTGTCACAAATGGGCTGAGGAAGAAGCTCAAAGAACTGATGATGGATTTTCAGGGCCTGAGGCAAAAGATGATGACTGAATATAAGCAAACTGTGGCGAGAAGGTACTTCATGGTGACGGGTGAGTCCCCGGAGGAGGAGGTGATTGAGAAGATAATCTCTAGCGGTGATGGCTGCGGTGGCGAGGAATTTCTGTCTAAAGCCATACAGGTATTTAGTTCAACATTTTTGTTATAGATAATCTCTCCAACTTGATCTTTCTTGAACAATTTCCTCAATTTTTGAAACTTTCAATCATATCGATTTTAGACTAATTGCTAACATTTATATTAACTTTGTTGATGTAACGACTATAATTTTCCCAGGAGCACGGCCGGGGGAAGGTGCTAGAAACGGTGGTGGAGATCCAAGACCGCCATGACGCGGCCAAGGAAATCGAGAAGAGTCTACTGGAGCTGCACCAGATATTTCTGGACATGGCGGTGATGGTTGAAGCACAAGGGGAGCAAATGGACGATATCGAACTCTATGTCACAAATGCGTCCGAGTATGTGAGCGATGGGACTAAGAGTCTTAAGATTGCAAAAGAGCACAAGAGGAGCAGCAGAAGATGGTTTTGCATCGGAATTGTGCTCCTTCTTGTGCTCATTCTTCTTGTTATCATCCCTATAGCTACCAGTTTCAGTAAATCGTGAATTGAGTTGCTGAATTTGTCATTTTGCTTCATTCTCGTGAGATAGAGGTAGCGAAGTGTGTTGAATTGTACAATTCAATGGACAAGATTTTAACTTTTTTCTTCTTTAATGTTTTTCAGTATTATACAAATAAGTTATTATTGGGAAGCATCTCTAAAGAGGTAGAAATGAGTAGTAGAAAATGGAACAATAGTGTCTTAGTTGCCTTGATGTCAAGAGAATCTATCTTGCTGCTTGCAAGTTATAGACATCATTTTGCGTTAAATAATGGAAAATTATGGCAAAACTTTTCTATAGTGACATAACTAAGTTGGCAAGTAGTGGTGGAGTTGTAAATTTAAAAGAAAAACGAAAAAAGAAAAAATTAAAAATTAAAAATTAATGTATGTACTCTGAGGTTTAAAATAGTCATAAATCATTCATGGTAAATTATGGCAAAAGGGTCCTGACTTTAGTTTCATTTGTACTTATGTTACCCAATTGTGAGTAGTAAGTACATGATTGTGTAAAAAAAAAGTTTGTACATGAAGTATTATCCTTTTTGGGTTACTTTGTTCCTAACATTCAAAAAAAGATAAATTACATAAACTAATATATTTAAAGATTCCATTTCATAAACCATATACAAGGTTTAGTCTTTCAAAAATCAGATATTTCTATTAATTAATATATTTAAAAATTAATTAATTAAAATTTTGATAATTATACATCCACCACACCCCCAATTTTGCCTTCCAAAACCTAATTTTCTATCCATATTCTCTCTCTCTCTCTCTACCAAAATCTCTCTATTCCAATCGATCGGCCGATCAACAGCAACACACTGCACACTGTGTGCGACGCTTCTTGCAGCGAATTCACTGGAAGGTGGTGGCCAAGCGACGAGTCATGCGAAGATGTTTTGCGACTTTCAGATTGTCGTCGGCTAAGGTAGAAGAAGAGTAAGACTCACCATTAGCGTTGCCGGCGACGTTCCATCTCAGATGTGAAGCTAGTACTAGAGAAAAGTAGCGTCGTTGTTGTTGTTGCAACAGGAGCACCGCCCATGGCTAGATGCGGCATTGATACGAGAGAAAAATTGGGGGTTGATTTTCGGGTTTTTTGGGTGATTTCTTCCCATTCAAATCTAATCTGCTTTAGCAAGAGTTGTGTGGTTGTTTTTTTGTCGATTGTTGGTGGTGAAGTAGTGGTGGCAGATTGTCGTTGGCGGCGGTGGTAAGGTGGGATTAGCAGCAATTTTGAAGTTAAAAATGAATGGGAAGAAATGGCGACGGCGATGGTGGTGGTGGTTTTGGATCTATGGTTTAGGTGGTTTTTTTGGTTGGTGGTGGAGGTGGTTTTTAGGGTGTTTTTTGGTTGATGATAGTTTGAGCATTTGGAAGCGGTGGCGTGGTGGTGGTTGTTGCGGTTGTGGTGGCGGTGTGGTATGAAAGTGTTTGTGACCTCGGGGGGTTTTACGACCAACTATAGAGAAGTGGTAGTGGTTCTAATGACGACGGTGGTGGTGGTTCTGGAGGCACCAATGAGATGGTGGTCATAAGTGTTGATGGTGGTGGTGCAGTGGTGGTGTATGCAGTGCTGTGACCTATAATTTTGATTCGTGACCGAAAAATATTCTGTGACTTATAATTTTTTGAATTTGTGATCAATGATGATATGATTTGTGACTTACAAAATTTTGATTTGTGACCTCAAACAAATTTGTGATCTATAAATTTTTTGGATTCGTGATCCAAAAATATTCTGTGACCTATAAATTCTTTGATTTGTGACTTCGAACAAATTCATGACCTATAAAATTTTTGGATTCGTGACCCAAAAATATTCTGCGAACTATAATTTTTTTGAATTTGTGATCAATAATGTAATTTGTGACTTATAAAATTTTGATTTGTGACCTCGAACAAATTTGTGACCTATAAAATTTTTAGATTCGTGACCCAAAAATATTATGTGACCTATAATTTTTTGATTTTGTGATCAATGATGTGATCTGTAACTTACAAAATTTTAATTTTGTAACCTCGAACAAATCTGTGACCTATAAAATTTTTAGATTCGTGACTCAAAAATATTCTGTGACCTATAAATTCTTTGATTTGTGACCAAAAAATAAGTTGTGATCAATAATATGATAAGTCGTAACTAAAATTTAATCCGTGACTAATTAATTTTTTAATTTGTGACCAACGAAAAAACTGTGACTTACAAAATTTTTGAACTGTGAACGTAAAAAAATTTTTGACATAAAATTTTTGATTTGTAACCAAAAAATAATAAGTAACTAATTATATTCTTAATTTGTGACCAAATTGTATAGATCCGTGACCTAAATATATTTAATTAATAAAATAATTAATTAACTGATTAAATTATAAATAATTTTTAATAAAAATTTGATTTTAGAAATTTGAAACTTGTTTTCTTATTTTTGAAATGTGCTATAATTAATTTCTTAGTTATGAAATTTTCCCTTCAAAAAATAGGCAACATTTGTCCAAATAGATCTCATCGAGGTAGTAGTTGGCTGGGTGAAGTCGTGGCGAAAATTGAAAAGACAGTAGTAGTGTTGTATGAATTTTAGGTCTTGTGATTGAATTTAGATTACGCAAAATTTTAAGAATAAAGTTTAAGGTATAATGACATTGAAATTTGAAAACTTAAATAGAGTAATTGGTGTAATTTTTCATTTATAAAAGCTTTATATAATCGTATGGACAAGTTGTTGGTGATTGGTAGATATTAGAATGAGAGATTTCTATGAGAGAAACGAGAGACTTAGAATTGCCGTTTTAGGGTTGTTAACATTTTTTACTTTTTGAATTTTTAATTTTAAATATAATTTTTAGGAAAATTCAGATTAGGTTGGATTTTGTGTTGCAACCGAATGACGACCACCTACCAAATTTGTTCTCTTAAAAAATCATTCATTAATAATTGATATGATGACAAATCTACTCAAATTGACTCGATCAGCTTGTGTCAGTCGATTTTCGCGGGTTAGCGATCTAGGGGTGGTGGTGGAAGATGCTATTATTTATATTCAATTGTTTCCTTTCCTTTCCTTTCCTCTCCTTTGCCTTTTCATTTTTATTTTTTGAATGTTTCATTTTCATTTCTATATAATATTTTAACTAAGTGTATTAAAATGACATTTCTATCCTTTCAAATATTTGAACTTGCAGATCAAGCCTTGGTGGCCTTTAATTTGAATATATATATATAGATTGTATAGTATTTGTTTGGAGAGCATATGGTTAAAAAGTATAAAAATATTCTTAATCTACGTGTAAAATATTATTATATGAATGTATGGTTAAAAATAAATATGAATAATAAATTAAAGTGAAGTGAAGTAAATTAAAGACCACCAGAAGGGGCCTAATGGCATGGTTGCCAAAAAAATGGATGGAATTCATCCATTTCGTTGAAAATGAAAAACAAATAAAACTAAAGTTGAGGACCTTTATCGTAATTTACTTATAATTCATAGAAAATTTTTGTGTAACAAAATTGAAAAAAAATATTTATTTATTTATTATAAATTAAAAACCAAAATTTTACTTATTTTATGTCAAACATCTCATAAGAAATGTTATTTAACACCTGTAGCTTCATTGATATCTAAGTCGAGATACATTTTTATTAATTAGAAAATATAATAGTAAATTAATGTTATATTATTCAATGAAATCAAAGTACATATTTATTCATTGAAAAATATAAGGTACGAGTTAATTTTCTCCATTTCCCCCAAATTTTCCTCTCAATATTTCTTATAAACATTGCATATGCCTTGAAATTCTACTTTATGCATAAGGAGGCAAACCGTTTACAGCCCCTCACGGCTTGGGGGTTCACGCGCAATAAAAAATTTATAGGCCCCCCTACTCGTGAGGGATAGACTTTCTTCAAACTTTTGATTTGTTGTAACCGTCACCCATAACCTTTTCAAACGTTTCATGTGAGGCCCTTTTTAACGGTTTTCATCCAAAATTTCGTTAGTTGACCAAAAAAATTATTTTGACTACATTTTAACAATTTTTAGAGGGGCAAAATGATAACTTTGCATTAAAATCAAAAATTAAAAAATAAAAGTGGTCTTCTTCTGCACCAACCCACCCACCCACACCTGAAACGTCTCCTACCCCACGCCACCCAAAACCACCCCCAACGCTAAACCAAAATCCCACCCACCCAGCGTCGACCATCATCTGCCTACCTTAGCTGCACCTAGAATCACCACCACCGCTCAATTAAACACATTAAATTAGTTGAGAGATTTGAATAAGTCGAAATGACTTTCCGGTATTAAACCCACATTTTCACCATATTCCAACGATTTTTCAACTGGTAATTCTCATTAAGTTGCTAAATCATAACCAAATTCCGGTCTAACACTAGTTGTACTTGGAAATTTTCAGTGAAGGCAGTAAAAGAGGCAGTCAAATTGGTTCAAGGCTGTAGGATTGTAAATATTTGAAAAAAGCAAGCGCAATTTTTGAATGGTGTTTTAACTGAAGGAGGGTCCGCTGAATCAATGAAGGGATGAGGGATATTTTTTTGAGTTGAAGGGATGACTCCATGTGGTGAAAAGTGTTGTGGTGGTGGATTAAGATTTGGGAAAGCGAGTCTCCTTCCGGTGAGGGTTCAATTGGTAGGACTGTGGGCTTTGTAATGGCGATTGAGAATTTGGTTCCTTGATCTTGAGTTTCCATTTGTTTGAAGTCCGAGAATGTGGAGAATTGTTCCAATCGAGAAGTAGAGAATTTGGTGCAGTCTGCGTTGGGCGGTAGCAGGTGGTTGTGGAGGTGGAGGCGGTGGTCTGGTGGATTTTTCGTTTGAGTTAGGGGGTTGGTGAGGCGTGAGTGGGTTGGGGAAGAAAAATACCACTTTTATTTTTTTATTTTTGATTTTAATGCAAAGTTACCATTTTGCCCTTCTAAAAATTGTTAAAATGTGGTCAAAATAATTTTTTTGGTCAACTAATGGAATTTTGGATAAAAACCGTCAAAAAGGGCCTTACATGCAACGTTTGGAAAGGTTAGGGGTGACGATTGTAACAAATCAAAGGTATGAAAAAAGTTTACTAATATTTCAAAGATTTGAGGCTTTTGCTGCAATTTTTCCAATTAAAAATGCAAGGGCATTTCGTACTAGAGTCTATTAAACAAATATCAAAGGAATCTCGGTGGAACGATGACGATATAACACTACCACATCACTTGCTTACACTTCCTGTTTCACTGCAGTGAAGAAGAAAATAATTTTATCAAAAAGAAATGGATACGAAATTACGGGGTTTTGTTCTCTCTGTATATATCGTCTTTGGCCTCCCTGTAATCACAGCTCACAATGACCCTTCAAATAAAATCATGGAGGATTTTTCTGGGTACCCAATTCATGAACCGCAGTCCCAAGATTCCCTATTATCACTTTCAGTTGACTCTGAAGGCCTTCAGAAGCAGGTATCTGTGTATGTTCTTCAATATTGGTGGTTTCTTATTGGGGATTTTTTTGTAAGACTCAATCTTGTGTTCTAATGAATGGCTTAAGATTTTTTAGTTTATGCTTCATCTTGATACATGGTCTTTTTCCTGTTTTCAGAGTGTATACTGTTTCTTGATTGAACTGATACTTGAATGCCATGAGAAGTTCATTTAGAATACTGCTACATAGAACAAGAAAGATTCAATCTTGATGAACTAAAATTGTTTACTACTTAAAGATCGATTTGGTTCCTATTGCTTGTGTAATGAAACCTTTAAATTTCTTTAATTTATGCAACTTCTTGCTAGAATTTAATATACTTCGTTTGTTTTATTTTAGATTGATGAGTTATCCACTTTGTCGGAAACACCGGCGCCATCGGTTACTAGGATTCTTTACAGTGAGAAAGATGTATTGGCAAGGAGGTACAAGCTGGAACTTATCTAATTTTTATGCTCGAATGTAAAAACAGTTTTCTAATGCTAAGGAATAAAGTATACTTTAAACGAGATATTTGGATATTGTATAGAAATTAAACAGTCGCATGAGGCTTAAACTGCAAAGTACTGCTGCCTAAACAATGGATTATTGATGAGTTTGAGTTTGGTTTTTAAGTTTCATGACTAAGCTTTTTTCTATAAAATGTTGCTTTAGATTAACGTTAATCTTCATGCTAATGTCTAGCTTGCACATTACACACATAAAACTATTGCTAGCACGAGTAAATGTTTAATATTTTTTTTTTCCTCATTAACATGCAGGTTCATTAAAAATCTAATGGGCCTTTCTGGTCTCTCAGTCAGAGAGGATGCTGTCGGGAACATATTTGGTCGATGGTGAGACAGAACTCTTCCTTATGGATCTTGTAATGTTATCATACCAATTATTGGAGAACAGCTTCTCCATTTCCAAAATATTTATTCATGCTTTATGTTATCTACATGTAAAATTGTTCTTTTGCTGAACATTTAACGAGGATTATACAGTAGTACTTGGGTAATTTTGAGTTTTAATAGACATATTTTTAAAATATCAATGTCATTCAATCAGTATCCCGGCTTTTGTTTCGGTATAGTTCCATAAAATTGTTTTACTTTATATTATCTGTGTTTCCAAGAGCCTCTTTATAGTTTCTTTATACTGACTCTTATTTGTGCTTACACAGGGATGGGGACGAGCCTGAGCTAGCACCAGTTTCTACAGGTTCTCACATAGATGCTATACCATACTCTGGAAAATATGATGGAGTAATTGGTGTATTGGGCGCCATAGAAGCCATTAATGTTTTAAAGCGGTATGCAGGCTTGACCCTAGTTTGGAATGTAGAGCTGGAAGTTATTCATTTGCTCTATAGTACTTCAAACATTGTTCATGGCATGCCAAAGTTAGGAAAGGGACAAAAAATTGCCTGTGCTCAATAATTAATCATGTTTCAGTTACACTAACCTCCTTGAGATCATCATTAAAACTAGGTTGAGTTCCTGGAAGAAGGTGTTAAACTGTTACATTTCTATGAACTAGTTTCTTTAAATAAGGATAATATAACCAACGAAGCTAAATTAAAACTGAGTATTCAATGAATTCGTACTTTTAACTAGTGGAGAAAATATTACACCGTCCTGAAAGTATTATTTAGAAAGCTTATTTGATCATTAGAAGGTTGTTGCCATTCTTATAAGCCAAATGAATGATAGAGATTTGTTAACAATTGTATGTAAAACTTTTAGAGGATGGATAATAAATTGGTGAATAGATAACTATGCAGATGATACAATACATGCCATGTAAGTAGTTAATTTAATTGCGTTCAGTTAGTAAAATATATGTTAAATTGAGATTGTTTGCACTTTGATTAGTATTTCTGACTCCGTGTATTTATCCCCTGTTTATTTGGCGGGTGACTTTCTTATTTTTATGACGTTTACTGGGATTTAACAGGTCTGGCTTTAAACCTAAAAGGTCCCTGGAAGTGATCATGTTCACATCAGAGGAGCCTACACGTTTTGGAATTAGCTGCCTGGGCAGGTCAGGATGACATATTGTTGCAGTCATGTTTCTCTAACATGTTTTCTTCCTTGTTCACAGTCATCGGGTTGCTGAGTCTATTCAGTAAATGTGCTCCATGAGCATGTGCTTTTGGATCTTTATAAATATTTTTTCATCTGTCTCTCATATCTTCTCTTCTCATATTTTTTTTTCTTAGTCTTGTCTTCGCAGTTTCTGATGTTTATCTCAAATTTGCAGCCGCTTATTGGCAGGAAGTAAAGAACTAGCTGAACTTCTCAAGAAAACAGTAGATAGTCAAAATATATCCTTTTTTGATGCTGCAAGATTTGCAGGATATGCAAACCATCTACAGGACTTAACCAGCGTGTTTCTGGAGAAAGGTAGTTATTCTGCTTTCATAGAGTTGCACATAGAGCAAGGTCCAATACTTGAAGAGGAAGGTTGGGTTTCTTCTTTCTTAATGCTGTTGATACTTATTATCGCAGTATATTTGAAAAACTATGATTTTTCTTACTCTCACTTGGTTAACTGGTTTGCATTTTCTTTAGCCACATCTATTGGTGTGGTTACGGCCATTGCTGCTCCGGCAAGCATCAAAGTGGACTTTGAAGGCAGTGGAGGCCATGCAGGAGCAGTCTTGATGCCTATGAGGTAATATTTTATTGTCGTATAGCTGGTTGAGGATGGTTTGAAGTTATTATAATATCTCAGTTATCAGAAAATATTGTCTAACCTAAACCATCTCTTATACATATTTGGTCTATTAATTGGCAAAATCAGAAGATAAGCTTCTTAATGCGTTACATCTGTTGTCAAGACTCAGCATTCCCCTTTACACAGTTTTTGTTTTGGGTTATCAAATTGAGTGCATTACCATATGATCTTACCCATTTTGTATATCATGTGGAGCAGAAATGATGCAGGACTGGCTGCTGCAGAGTTGGCTCTTGCTGTTGAGAAATTTGTATTAGAATCTGGATCCATCGACACTGTCGGAACAGTTGGTAAGGAACTTCTTTGCACTTGTTTATAAATTATGGTTCTATATCATCAATTCTTGGTCAACGGGAAATATAGACTTTTAAGCATGGGATGGTGAATTTTGCATACGTTGATTCATGCAATTTACAGGTCTAAATCTGTAGAATATCGTTGCACATTCTAGGTTGTTGACTGTGTTTTAATATTCTAGGAGTATATGGGGCATTCATATTTTGCATTAGTTCACCCTAATTTCCTCCGATACATTAAGGAATTGAGGGGTACATTATTTTTAGAGATAAACTCAGGAGCGTGAAGAAAGCCTGCAACAGGAGTGGATGCAGCTTTTACACTTGGGGTGGACTACTATAAAATCATGGGTTTGCTTTGCATTTTTTCCAACTGGTATAAGAGCATATGCAATGCAACCAAAGACTCGAAGAGATTGAACATCGGGCTTATGGTTGCTCCATGCCTCTCCAGGTGTCATATCACGAACACTTTTTGTAGGACACTTGTTTAAAATATAAACAGCACATGCCACTGCCTCTGCCTAAAATACTTTTGGTAATTTTTTCCTTTCAACAAACTACGTGCCATTTTGACTATTGTCCTGTTCTTCATTTCAAAAATTCCGTTTTGCTGCGGTGTATAGCTCATTGTAAGTTGATACTTTATTCCACCATATTTTCAAAAATCAGAGAATTCATTGGAGGTGTATTCCGCCCCTCTATCTGTACGAAGCACCTTCAAAGAACAACCACTTTGTTTCTGCATATAAGCTTTGAAGCCTTTAAAAATATTATAAATTTCAGACTTATGTTTCAAAAAATAGACCCAAGTTCTCCTGCTGTAATAATCTATGAAGGTGATAAAATAATGATTACCTCTATTTGATTCAGTCTCCATTAGTCCACAAACATCTGAGTGCACAAGTTCTAGCAGTTGTGTTGTTCTTCGAGACTTGCCTACTGGAAAAGAGTCCCTATGCTGTTTTCCAAGAACACAACCGATTAAAGTTTTATAATAAAGGTAGCCCTGTAAGCATTTTTTTATTTGCGAGCAACCTTAAACCATTGAGGTTCAAGTGACCAAAACGCAAATGCCATAGCCAATTAGTATAAAAAATGGCAGCAATAAAGGAAAATACTTTTTTAGTTTGAAATGATAAAGGAAACATGCGATTTTTAGTCATCTTAACTTCAACAACATGTTCATTTTTTCTGATTCATAATAGTGCAAACTCCTTTGTCAATAGTGATTTTAAGTCCCTTTTTAGATAGTTGTCCTAAGCTCAATAAATTCCATTCCAAACTAGGAACATAAAATACATCAGAAATATGCTCATATGAACCATCTTTTACTTGTATCAGGATTTTGCCTTTTCCCATAATTGATACCTTGGCTTTGTTTCCAAAGTTTACTTCTCCAGTTACCGTTTCATCCAGCTGAGAGAATAATTCCTTCTTCCCACACATGTGATTACTACAGCCCGTATCCAAATACCATTCTCCAAGATTTTCTTCTAAAGAAGTAGTGATGTAGGATGAATAAGAAAGAAAGAAGAAGGAACGGGGAAGAGAAACAGAGAGAAGGGAGAAGAGGAGAAGAAATCAGGGGAAGAGAGGGGAGGGAGGAAACGGCTGCAAGCCACCAAAAATATTTCAATTCTAATTCATCATCAACTGTCTCAAATGAGAAACAAAACAGAAATAAATAGCAAAACACAAACCCTAAAGAGAAGGGCTTGGGCCAAACCCACTAAACAAACCCAATAACGAAAACATAAACAATAGTCCAAATAAAATATAACTAATAGTCCAAATAGAAAATAAATAATAAATGGATGTCCGCATCAACTCTACCGGGGTGGGAGAAAAACTCGACCCCGTCGAGTAGATAAAGCAGAATGTTGCACTGAATTTGATGCGAAAGGCTCCAAATCATGCCATGGGGGACGATCTTTCTCAATGACCAAATACCGAAACTCCACAAATGATAACAAGGATAGTTGCAGCTTATCCTCAAGGATATGATCCAACCAAGGAGGACGATCTTTCTTTGTAATCACATACCGATACTGAACTCCCAATAGTAAAAATTCATGCCACTCATCTCCAAAATCTTCCTCATTGGTCAACACAACCTGTTTATCTAAAATAGCATCAATTACATCATTGTGTGCTGTGACATGTGTTATTGGAGTGAAAATGGTAATATATTTAGGTTGGGGATTCACATAAGGAAGTAGAAAAGGATCATCAAGGAAATTAAAAAGGCCTTTGTAAGTAACTAAGTCTTCAATATGTAAAGTAGAGTGGTGGCCAAAATGGACATGTGCGTATGGACCAACATGCTTTAAAACTTTAAAAGGACCAGCACTACCGGCTTGCAATATAACATAATCCTCAAGATGAAATTGAAAATATTGTTTATGCAAATTAGTTTGAAGTTTATATAATGCATTACTTGCGTGAAGTTGTTTATGGATCTTAATATGCAAGTCATCAAGATGATGCACAAATGCTTCAACTAATATCGACACACTAGCATGTGGGGACATGGAAATAAGGTCTAACGGCCGCCTAGACTTATAACTATGAACAATTTCAAATGGATTCAAACCTAGAGACCGATTTACAGAATTGTTATACGCAATTTGAACAGTTGGGGGGAATCAAGTCCCAATTTCTAAGATTTTTCTGGACTAGAGACTTGTATAAATTGCCAGGACTGTGGTTAACGACTTCATTTTGACCATCAGTTTGAACAGTTGGGGGGAATCAAGTCCCAATTTCTAAGATTTTTCTGGACTAGAGACTTGTATAAATTGCCAGGACTGTGGTTAACGACTTCATTTTGACCATCAGTTTGAAGTTGGTCAGTAATGGGGAATGTTGATTTAATGCTAACCAAAGGCGACTGAATTCTCCAAGGGTGGCCAGTGAAATCATCAAGCTCTTTGAGTTGTACAAGGGTATGACATATAACATGTGACCGAGAGTTATCAGAAACAAGGGGTATAGCATCTAAAGTCTTGGGAAGAGTCTGGAGTCCACCTAAAGAAGTGTCCTCACTATCATCCAAGTCATCAAAATCTTCAAGTTTAGGTTCATAGACTAGATCTTCTAATGGCATATTTATTACATTCTTTCGTTCTTCCATGACTAAGGTTCGATTAGTACATTTGGAAGAAATGTGGCCAAAGTCTTTACAGTTGACGCACAACAAGTGAGAAGAAGACCTTGGAGTTTCAGAAATTCTACCCTGATTTTCCAAGATTGGAGAACCATTAGAAGGGGGAGGTCCTAGAAGGGACTTAACGGGAAGAGGTGGAGCCAATGAAGCCAAATGATGATTATCAAAAATTTTACCCTTATTTTTCAAAATTGGAGGAACATCAGATGGAGATGGTTTTATGATAGACTTATGATGAGGCGACGCTAATGAGATGGGTGAGCGACGATGACCACGCTTTTCATATGGAGTACTAATAATCAACTCATAATCTCGAGCTAAAGAGTAAGCGTGATCAAGAGTAGTGACACCTCGAAGGAAAAGCTCGCGCTTAAGATCATCTCTCAGACCTTGGCTAAACCTACTCAAAGTCGTGCTCTCATCCTCAATTAAATGACATTTGATTCGAAATTCCTCAAATCGCGCGATATATTGAGTCACTAATTGATTTCCTTGTTTAAGGGCATTCCGTTGAGTAAGAATTTCAAAATTATCTCGTTCTCGCTCACGAATCTGATCCCTATTCCTATCCCTATCCTTACGATCGGGTCGAAAGTATTTTTGATTACCTTGTCGACGATGTTGTCTATTATGGGACACCTTAAAATTATTAACATCAATCGAATGAGGGATGTGTTTAAAATTTTTCGAACTAATAGATAGGGCCTTACTCTCTTCAAGAGTAGCGGTCATTTGAGTTTGAATAGCTGCTTTTGTCGGGTGAGTGTATCGAATTGTGAGGGGTTCATGTTTAACGTACTAGAGCTAGAAGTGACAAGATGACCAATATGTAACTATATGCAAAGCAATACTACCTAAATGAAATGCAATAGAGAGACCAATATGCATCAAGGACTATCAAACACGATTATTTATTAAAGTTAACACGAAGTTGAGTTGGTTGAAGACGAAAATCGCCATTTTCAGGAATTCCTTGTTCGTCATAGACAAATCAAGCATAAAGAAACTCACATTGCACTTCGAAATGCATTAATCGATCATTTGTGGGATGAACATATGAATTTTGAGAATTAAATTGCAAAAATTTAACGACTTTGTAATATCGTCTATCCAAATTTAAAATGCATTGTACTATTTTCTAATGGCATTAATTCATATTTTCGTTGTTGTAGTATTTTTATTAATTGTTCTATGTTTTTTATATTTATTAATGAATTTAATCTTTTTCGTAATTTAACGTAATTATTTATTTAGTAATTTATGTATTTATGAAATAATTTGAGGCCAAAGTTGTGATAGTAACAGCAACACAAAGAATCTAAGTGATGCACTTTTAAAATAAATCAGCAGTATAAACCAATTAGAATTAGGAGATAGCAACTCCCTGTAGTCTAGTTGCCTGAATTGCTAACGATTGGGCCTCTGATCTGCCTGTGTCAAATGTCTAGAGATGAATTTTAGTTTGGTGCAAGATTTGGTGTAAAATTTGGTGCAGGGTTGGAGATGGTCTAATGTAGCAGCATTTGGAAACTCTTGAAGCACGTGTATCGGAAAAGTGTGTGTGATTTACCTGTGTATTAGTTGACCTAGTCTTCAGCCTTTAAATTGGGATTTCTGCCTTTCATCTGTGTGTCCCTGCGTGGTTCATTTCATTGCTTTTATGGCGTGTTTGATTGCAAGCATGGATTTCCTAGACTTATTTGTATGGAAATTGTTAATTAAATATGTTTGATTGATTTAATTTTCAACTGGAAAAATACTGTACTTGTTCATTTTTTTATTGGTGGGTAGATGTGAGAGAGGGACGAGGTAGATGTGTGTGTGTGTGAGAGAGAGAGAGAGAGAGAGAGAGAGAGAGATAGAATTACCTGAAAATAAAACCCACTCCCTCTAAAGAAAATATTTGGCTTGTTTTCAAAGGAAATATGGTCATGTGACCAAAAGTAGAAAAATATTTTTCATGGAAAAAAATAACAATTAAACAGCACAGAAGTAAGAATTTGTGTAGAAAAATGACATTTTCCATGAAAAATATTAGCAATCAAATGCATCATTATCGACCATAATAGAGGTTTGAAATAAAGAAATATCAAATTAAACCACCACTAGCTTGTTCCTGCAACTTTATAAATTTCCTTCTAGTTTATGCTTGTACCTTTTTACCCATCTTTCTCTGGAGAAATATTTTTGACTTCCGTGATTAAATGGACAGGTTCCAGCGGGGTTTGAAGAGGAAGCCCATGGCTTTGATCAAGAAGCTGCGTAAGGCGGTAAGTGAATAAGATGTGGAAGTATTTGAATTATACTGTGTCTATCAATGGAATTAGTATATTATATCACATAAATTATAGCTTCCTTTGGACAGTGACTTTTTCAGATTCCCTTAATTCTCTCCTTTTTTGAGTGGTCTTTTTTACGTGAATTCATTGTAATAATAATCTGTCTTTCTATGTCTCATCTGCTTTACTTATTGTTTTCATAATTTTGATTCTTCAGAAACGTGAGGCCCCACCTGGCGAGAAGCCTGAAATTGTCAAAACTCACCTACGAAACATGATCATCGTCCCTGAGATGATCGGGAGTGTCATTGGAGTGTACAATGGCAAGACCTTCAATACAGTTGAAATTAAACCTGAAATGATAAGTCACTATCTTGCTGAGTTCTCAATCTCATACAAGCCAGTCAAGCATGGCAGACCCGGTATTGGTGCCACCCACTCCTCAAGGTTCATTCCTCTGAAATGAGAAATCTACCATCAATTTAGAAATACAAGAGAGATTTTGTTCGTCAGGATCACCTATGTTATGTTACTTTCTTCGTACTCTTGTGCTCAATTAGTTCCTGTTTCATCTCTCGCCATTTTCCATCAGACAGGAATGTTTAAACTGCCGTTATTTTGAATGTTTGATGACAAGTTGCTTAATTTGTTTGGAAAGAGATCTCTGTGTTCAATTGCATTTTCTTACTAATAATGTTTTCTTTCTATTTATGTGTTGCTCGCAATAGGGTGCATTTATCTTTTACATAATTATGTTACACTACTTTACATTTTGACTTGGGTTAACTAAATTTTGATCTAAGTCATAGTCAGTAATAAATTTTAAAGGCATATTTCATGGGATTCATAGATCACAACTTTTAACTACATATTTCATTGACTTTTATTAAAATTTATTAAAAATCTTATTTTAATCTCCTCTAAAACATAGGCTTAATATGTAGTAAAGATTAGATTAGTATAATGAAATAAATTATAACTTCTTTCACAATCTGTTACATTGTTGTGGCGTTATTCAATCGTTCATGTCAAACAAGCATGTGGGTAAACCAGCAAACATGATAAAATCGAAAATGATAAATGATAAATTTCATTTTTGTGTATCCTTCTAGCTAGGTAGTAATCCACTGTAGTT